GTGTGTGTGTGTGTGTGTGTGTGTGTGTGTGTTTCCCCTGTGTGTATGTATGTGTACCATGTGCATGCCTGGTGCTCTCAGAGGTCAGAAGAGAGTGTTTCAGTGGCTAGAGAGATGACCCAGCAGTTAAGAGCACTGGCTGCTCTCCCAGAGGGCCCAAGTTCAGTTCCCCATGGCAACTCAGGACCATCTTTAATTCCAGTTCTAGGAGATCCAATGCCTTCTGTCCTTTATGCACACCACACGTGTACATGGTACACATAAATGCAAACAGGCAAACCCTCAGAAACATAAAATAAATAGAAGAAGAAGAAGAAGAAACAAAACAGAAGAAGGTATTGGATCCCCTAGAACTGGAGTGATAGATGCTGTGACCCATTCCTCATGTGGGTGCTGGGAACCTAACCTGGGTCCTCTGTGAGAACAGTAAGTTCTCTTACTCGGATTACGTCTTTACAAGTTTCTTTGTTGATGGAACTTTATTTATCTCATTTAACTTTTGGAAAGAAAAGAAAGTACATTTTATTTACACCCTCTAGTTCCTCCTCTCTTACAGCACAATTTCATTCTGCCTTTTCTTCAAATTCACTTAACATTGTTTGCCCGTGCCTAGGTGTTCATAAGTCAGTATGAAGAGAAAGGAATCTCTTCGGTTGTCATAGTTGAGTTAATCATTGAACTAACTGGTTTTGCAACATCTGACTGGAATGGTGATGCACAGGTGTTCTACCACAGGTGTTCCCGCTTCTTATGACCCCCAGAGCTAGGGACAGAATCCTCTCCCCTGTCCCTCTGTGCTTCTTCCTGGCTCAGGTCACATTTTTGTTCTGGAAAACTGAATTACCCACAGTTTCTATTTAGAGGAAATTCTTAAGAGTGAAAGACCCTAACCCTTCACGGTTACACCCCCGAAGCCCCAGGAGAATAAGGAGCTAAAAAGAAAACTAGTTCCAAGGGCAAGCTGACTCAATCATTATTCAACCACCCCTGTAACAATGTGACAATGTAAAAAGATTTCTGTTAAGAGATGTGCTCAACTGTGACTGGGATAGTTGCAGGTGTTCCAGGAAGGACCACTGTGACCTGTGTGTAAACTCCACTCCCGCCCTGATACCCCCCTTGAGGTTTCAGGAAGAATGTACATGCGGACGTGACTGTACCCACTCTGTGATCAGACCATGATCTTGTGAAACGAAGTTGTATGGGAATTGTAACCTTATGGCTTTTGTGGGTTTTTCCTTTAAAAGCCCCCATGGAGCTGCAGTTAGCCCGACTGTACAGCCGCATTAATAAACACCTCTTGCTGTTGCATCAACTGGACTGGAGTCTGGGTTCTTGGGGCGCCCACTTGAGACCCTAGATTTTTGGGGTCTAACAAGAGAATTAACTGAGTTCTGTGGACTACTATGTAAAATATAAAACCGTATTTTCAACTGGTTGGCCAAGTCCACCTTCAGCAAGACGATATCCAGTTTCCCTTGCCTTGTAGACATTTATTTCAGACCTGGGTAGCTGGGGGCTGGAGAGAAGGCTCAGTAGTTTAGAGCGTGTGCTGCTCTTGTGGAGGACCCGAGTTTGGTTCCCAGCACCCACATTGGGCAGCTCACAATCACCTGTAACTCCAGCTCCTCTCCGAATTCTGTGGGCACCTGTATTCCTGTGGTATACGCACACAGACACATACACACGGGGAACTAAAAATAATTTTTTTTAAAGGTGGGACTTGGTGGCACACACCTTTAGTCCCAGCACTTGGGATGCAGAGGCAGATGGATCTCTGTGGGAAGTGGTCTAGAAATTTCCAAGCAAGCCATAGCTGCGTAGTGACAGCCTGTCTCAAAAACAAACAAACAAAGCCGGGTGGCGGCGGCGGCGGCGGCGGCGGCGGCGGCGGCGGCGGCGGCGGC